ACGTTTATTTACTTCCGGTTCTGATCCCCTTTCAATCCATATCCACACACTATCCGCAGTTTGTATCCAATTGCAGCGTTCGCACACGCACATGCAAACGCATACATATAACTCATACAGGCACGCAGAAAGAGTGCTTTATGGATGAGGATTGCAAAACATGGTTTGCAAAGCAAGGATCATAATCGAACATCAAACAGCGCTCTAGTGATCCTAGAGATTGTCGAAGAACGACGGCGATGGGCTGGAAGCGCACAGACAGTCAGGACTGCATCTAATCTCCATATGCAGCCGCCCGTTCCCCTTCCGGCGGCCGTTAATCCTGCTGGCAGGATTAGATCCCCGACGCCGTCCTCGGGCAGCGCGTAATCGGATAATACTTGGCCACGTGCACCTGCCTACTGCATGCGAGGGTCTTAAGCTATGGCAACGTCTACTGCTACTGCTACAGCCGTGCTGCGTAACCCATTCGCGTTCTTTTTCGATTAATTATTTTCGAGGGAGATCACCTTGGCGACAAAAGCCGAATCGAGAAAGAGCTCAGCCTGGATCAGACTAATCCCCTGATATGTTGAGGCCGCACGATTATTCATTCGTGAGTGCAGGAAGCCGTTGACGAAGACGCAGAAGGGAATAAGTACAAAAGGACTAAACGAATGAATAAGAAATAAAAAATATAAATACAACTTTTAAAAATAACAACACTAGGAGGCGATGCTTCCATCATCATCATCATCAGCTTGGTCCTCGCTGCAGTTGTCCTCCTTTTCCAGTGCTATCGAACGTAAAACCGGCGAATACATAAATACCAAGAATAAACCTGTTCGCCTCGCTCATGATAATCCTAATAATATGGGGATTATATCAAGCCAAGGATTAAGTTTAGCTATTGGTGCGTGTTATCATCGTTTTCCAGAACTAAAGCCGCGTTCCCTGTTTGTCCCTGTCCATTTTTGTGTTATTATTTTCATCTCAGAAATTATCGATCCCATTCTGTTCTACCAAACACTACGACAGCAACGGCGAATTGCAAAAATAAAACAAAGCGGAAACTAATAACTCAAAGCAATGCTCATGAAGTACCTCAAACATTTAAACAACTTTGCGTTTGTCTAATATTAAGTACAAAGAATTTTAAATGTAAAACAAATAGACACGTATTAAATCATAATACTAGGAGGACATGATTATATTTGTCTTCAAATTTAAGGAAAATACAAAACAATTGTACTTTTTATGAAAAAAAAAATTACTTGAGTATAAGAATTTTGATGTTGCAAAGCTCACCAACAAAAAATACACAAACAAAGTAATTAAATAGTTTATGATAATGATATTAAGTCTCAATTATGGATATTTTATAAGTATAAAAATAGTATCAATAAAATTACATAAACGTGAGATGCATTAATTCGCTCATATTTTCATTACTTACATATTCTAATTATATCACAACCATTCCAAAGTTTCACAACACAAAAAAATATATAATTGCGAAATGTTGGAACAATTACCGTAAAAATTGAAAAACAATGCATGTGCATCCAAAACTTTACAAGATTTTACTTTAAATTTAAAAAATAAATATATATTTAATACTCATCACTGTGACAGCTGTCATATATTGAAAATGTCAATTTATAAATCCATTGACATTCTGTTAAAATAATACAAATTGTATGCATTGACGACAAAACGTTTTATTTGAAAATTACTTCAAAGTTAAATTTAATGATTAAACAAGCGTAAATTATGAAACTTCAAGTCCGTCTTTTTTTTTTATTTTTCAATGCGACATGTTGTTGTCGTCGAAATCCTTATTTTAATTTCATTAAATCGAATCATGCAATCAAAGTTCAGTTTTAATTGATATTCGTACGTGTTAACACCTTGAATTAAATGAAATGATATTCGAGAAACGATAAAATTACAGTGCGATGATTGGGTGGCATCTGCACAGAAAACCTGCGTTGCGTAATCATCATTCCGCGTCATTGGAGGTTCAAAGCCTAATTGTAGTTAATGGCTTGCAACGCGATTCCATTTAAAGCGACAACAAAATATCAAGATTCTCTAATCACATTTCCGATAGTGGATTTAGAGTTTAAAGCAGTTGCAGAATTTGTTGTATCTCTATAGAAAATTTGAAAAAAAAAATATACTCAAAATTGTATTGATAACATAGTTGTTGCAAGTAAACCACTTCATGTTATCAATCGCGCGACGAGATTGACGACATCTAATTATTGTTTTGTTCAAAAGCCATTATTGTGTGTGTGTATTTTCTTATAGCCTTTGAGGCTTGGATAAGATGAATGCTTAAAATGTATTTGCGACAATTGCTAGAGTCGTGACTGTTGGACAAATTCTTGAAAGGAACGACAAGGAATTTGACCTACGGGCATCGAACGTGAGATCTCCGAAAGAAGCAATCAGTGGTGAATGACCGTTCCGAATAATAAAGTATTGCAGTCGGATCAGTTCTGTTCCAGACGTCCACTTGAATCCTGAGGTATTGCGCAAGGCTATCAAAGCTAATCCGACAACAAGTGCTCGCAGATTATCGGCGAACTGCAGATCTTCTTCTTCTTCTTAAAATATATATATAAAGATCCTTCAAAACCTCCATTTTTTCGCAAGTAACAAACAATCCGATTATTACTGATGTAATCCGAAGTTTTAAATTGTACTTGCTTGTAGGATTTGTAAGCCAATTTGGGTAATTATATTATGGATGTTACTTTCATCGCAGTTTAAGTAAATTCCTCTTCTTTGGGGTGACAACTTTTAAAAATCGGAGATCATTAAGTAAAACTCTGATAATTCTACGTGACGCAATCGCAATTGACAAGTTGTCGAGATTTATGACTTGTTTTCGTTGTTCTCCAATGATCAAACTCCAGCGCACTTGGAAAAATTGAAAAAAAAAAATGTTATAATTTCTCGTTGCACTTGTAGTTTTGCAATAGCGATTTGCATTTCATTTATAATCAATTTCTTAATTAACGAATGTATTTGCACGATAAAAAAATAAACGATTAAAAGTTATCATGAAATGCGAATATTTCCTGTTTCTTGTTTGTCAAAGTATAGCAAAAAAAAGACAAAAATAATGCACTGTAATTTTGTTTGCATGGTATAATAATATATTATAAACAACTACATTACATAATTTAATTTAGTTTCTAATGTTCTGAGTTGATGGAAATAAATTGCATTTTTTTAAATTTAAAAATGCAATTAGAATAAGAATCTAAATTAATTGGTAATTTTTGACAATGACAAATTTACAAGGAACATTTATTCAAGGTCGATGACAATTTAAATTTTCTAATAGTCGAAAATTGTTAAATATTCTAATGTTAATTAATGTTTAATGACTCGTTTTAATGTTTTTGTATAAATATTAAAATTTAAAGAAAGTTCACTATTTAAATTCTGTATGTATACAATGTTAAAATAATATTGATTGTTTGTTAGGAATAATTAATAATTACCTAGTAGACAAATTAATTACAGTTTTCTCTTTAGTTTTTAACTTTAATTTACTTTATATGATTTTTCTAAGAAAATAATACAGGAAATTTTTAGTACTAGAATCTGATGCAAAGTTGACTGATTATAGAAAACAATTTCTCAGAATTTATGTTTTCAAGAAAGAAAAATATTGTAAATTGCGAACAAAAATTGTCAAATAATATTACTCATTTGTATTGACAAATATATTGATTGATTATAGAAAATGTAATTTCTGAAAATTTTTACATGTATTTTGTCAAGTCATAACTGAATGTGCATCACTGTAATTTATATGTATTCTGTCGGGTGTCGGGAACACGTCAGGTATTTAGAAACACGGATTTTAATGGGCACAGCCACACCACTTAACAGGTGCATTTTGTTGTTCGAAACCCACTTCGAACTTACCACATTCATGCCCGTTGTTATGAAAATTTTGTTTCATTTTGTTATATTTGTTATTCCAATTAGAATCAAAATATTCATGAATATAATTAATAATACAGTACAGGAATCCTTTTTATAACACCGTCTTCTTCATAAACAACTAATCATTTGGGAAAGTCCCGATTTTTGTACTATCAAAATTTAAATGTGAAAAAGTTAGTGGAAAAATGTCAATAGGTAATCTTTACCTATAAAAGTTTTCAGCTATTTTCAACATTTGTCAGCTAAAATACAAATCACTATACTAGTTTTGCTGCAATTTGGAATCTAGACGTCAATTGATCTAAAAATCCACATAATACGGATTTGCACTATACAAGATATTTGAAATTATATGACTTATACCAGCACATTGTGATGTCCTAACGTAGAACGTGAATTTACTCATTGTTATCAAAGTTCTTTTTCGTTTCGTAATATATATTTATATATATACTACATATATATGTATATATGTAGTATATATATATAATAGTATATCCCTTGTGAATGTTAATCTGGAAGTCTGGTAATCCCCGAGTTCCCGTCTCCCGAGCAGGCCAGAGTCCTTCTAATCCCAGCTTCCCCTAATTCCCTACCTTCGGCTTAATCCAGCTTTAACCAAGCCGGCAGTGCTAGTGGTAGTGCGCTAGTAGCACTATCCCAGCGGAATATCTGTGTACGGCATATGGAGGACGGCAACAGAACATACCTGGCTCGACCGCTGGATGTTTTTGGGTCGGGGTGTACTGGGATGCAGCCGTTTCATCAATCATGAGCAGATAATCTGCTTAACGCCGCGCAATCCGCTTCAATCCGGCCGACGAGCGGGGCGAGGACGGAAGCGTCCCCGGCCCGCGGTGTGCGGATAAGCGCGGCCCAAACGAACAACATCAACAACAACAACCGGCCAGGCCCGACTCGACCCGCGCTCCCAAAAACCCGACCCTCAACAACATATCCACAGCAACACGCGCGTTCGCATGCACCAGCAAACAGAAATGCATTTGCCCAGTAGAAGAAGTTGAAGATAAAAAAAAAAGAAGAGAACTTACCAGACGAAGAAGATTTGGCGGAGGCCGATGCTGAGGCGGCGGCGTTAGCCTCGTACTCCTCCTTGATAGACGGAGATGATACCATGGGGACATCCAACGGTGTCCCGGAGCGGTCCACCACCACCGGACTAGATCCCCGCTCGGCGGAGTCCCGACTGGAACAACCTCCAGCCGCCGCAGATGGGGTCGACGCCGCCGCTGACATCGGTTGCGAAGAGACCGCGGACTGCGACGGCGGCGGAGGCGGCGTCGCCTTGCAGTTCCTCGTCAGCGCTAGCGCCTGGCTCTGGAAATTACGTAATTAGAGTTGTATTAGTAGTAATGAGCGTGGTGCGAGCTGAATGATAAATCTCGCTCGTCCACTGGACACTCTGCCATTGAGAGTTATTAATCTGGGTTAAGTGGGGTCAAAAAGCTTCAAAATTCCATAGCGCGCGCGGCTATAGCAATTCAATTCGATGCGTAAGTTACGGCCGCAACAGATTCCACCCCCTGCGCGCCGCCACCTCCACCTCCGTCTCCTCATCCTACAACACCGCCGCTCGCGCCGCCACGATAACCCTATCTCCGCATAATCTTTGTTCTCCCCTCGGAGCAGCAAAAGCACTCCGTATAAAACGCTCGGATGTGTATATCTATATATATATTTAAGAAGATCTAAACTAAGTCTGGATGACTCATAATTTCCTTAATCCGCATATAACAAGCATTTGTGTAGCGGGTTTTTAACGATGAATACTCCAAAGAATTAAATCTTCGAGCAGCACAAAGAAGTCGGAATATACACAGGAGGCACACATCCAATATTTTTGTTTGCAGAGAGGAAGGAGCGAACAGCAGAAGGGAGGAGAACCGAATGAAGAGAAAATAAATTTAAGATGAAGAAGCAAAAATAAAAAGAACAAAATAAAAGAAAAGTTAAGAAGCGACGTGGAATGAGAGAACGAGAGCGGTGGCGAAGATATAAAGTGGATTACTTTCGGCATATTCGGAAATGGTTTTTAATAGAGGTGGCTCGCGATTTAGGCAAGTTGGGTTGCTAGTCGGATGGTCAAGAGCAGGTCGATGATCTTGCATCTGAAACCCAGCGTGCTTACACAACTGCTGGCACTTTTTGCACACCGATTCGTAGAACTTCTGCTGCATAGCCGTCCCTGTCACTCAATGCACTTGCACCAAAAATGAACCAGATTCCATCAGTGTCTGCACACACACACATACACACAGAGACGGGCACACATGCACACGGGTTCACAAGATTCGTACGCGAGGCGAGGGACCGTTTTCGCCGTTTGCACCTGTCATCACATAATATAACTCTAACTTTTATTATTTCAACTCGAGCTTGTCTCAAACTAGATATCGAATTACGAAAGGCGTAACAACAATACACCTGCAAACCCAACAATATTACATTGTAGCTGCCTTCTTTAATAGTCGAATTTGCCCTCACACTTTTTCTATTACTTCAATTTAAGTCAAAAGTTCTTTACTTAGTGACATTACAAATTTAGTAATATATGAGTGAGATTAAATTGTATTATTTAATCTCTAATTAACTAAGCTAATAGTAACTAACCGAAAATATCGATTTACCTACGAAAGGTCCACTTCTTATGTCTATAAGATTGATTTCTACTAAGACATCAAATTTGTTTTGTGCTATTGTAACCTCATATAAAATTTTATACTATAGTTTTAAATTTCACTGTCAATTTCAATTTCAATGTTGGCTAAATTTATAACAAATCTATAATACTTTTCTCTTAGTACCGAAATGAAAAATTCCTCTTTCCCATCCAAGTGTAATCTTGGAAACACGTTGCTTAACTCTAATCAAAAACCAATTACGCCACGTGGTATTCACTAAACTAACAAGAGTTAATATATATTGGTATTATATTTTAATATACCTTTGTTTTTGTTTCGAACTAATTATTTTAAAACTTTACTTCTTATAATTTAACAATAATATTTATTAAATTCTTAAAAAATAGAATAGTTAAGAAAGTTAAAAACAATATCTATTAAATTTATTCTTTAAGACAAAAAAACAGATTGTTAAACTTTATATTTTACTTAAATTTTCATTTTTCAAATTAAAAAAATAATTTTATTGTTTTAATCAAATAAATTAAGGACATTTACTATAAACTTGAAATTGCATGAAAACATGTGACTAAAATTAGAAAAAAAAATAGTTTGTTGTAAGATAAATAACAATAAAATGATGTGCTCCGAAAACTAATACAAATCAAAAACAATTACTACAAATAAGCAATGATGAAAAACTTCGAATGAACGAACTTAAGTATACTCAAGGACTTTATATTAAAGACGAGAAGTGATAAATAAAAATGTTTTCCAAAATAAACTGGAAACATATTAAATTTGATGAATAATTGAATTGAATTGAATATGTCATAGTATAAATTTTAAAAAAATGGATTTGGTTTAAAAATACTGCATTTGAATTTGATAGCTTTCGAAAGTAAAGCTGTGTATATAGGATCTTCAATGAATAATCGCTGTTATCACAACTGAATTACTATATAAAGAAAGAAAACTTAAAAATGAATTTAATTCACTAAGAATTAAGAAGATCTTAATACTGCAGAACAAAATGTTTTTTTTATAAAATAAATTCAATATATACAAAAAAATATTTATTTATATTTAAATGCTTTAAAATATTTCTGTATTTCGTTTATTTTTTTTGCAAGAAAAATAATTTGAAATTGAAAAAACATTTATTGAAATTATATAGAAATTCTTTAGTTATTCTGAAGACTTTCTTTTTTGATGTGATGTCAGTACTTCGGTTAAAAATTCCCAGCATGATATTTTTCATTTCTTTAAGGAATGAAAGAAACTTGTAGATTGAATAGTGAACAGGAATCATCCAAAAAGTCTACATCACAATGGAACAAATTCTGGTGTTCCAAGTGATAATTTTTGTAAACTTTCAATTTTTTGTTTCTGACGCGCGAAATTCAATTACTAAGCAATATCCAAAGTATAAATGTATAGTATATGCATTTTTATAAAAAAAATAACGTATATTCATTAATACGTACATGATTATTTACGACCGAACTAACGTACAATGATGTCAGTTGATTCCTATATCGTGTTAAGAAACAAAAAACTAATTTGGATACGATGCTGAGATTAAAACACAAAGTTTACCTTCAAATGAACGTAATGTACGTGAGTGCGAATAAAGAAATAGAAATACAGCATTAATTGATTTTCATATGAACCTAAAGTACGGTAGTGCGAACACATATATAAGTTTGTAGCAAGAACAAAAAAACAAAGCTCACACATATAATTTTGGAAGTCACTACCTTTCTACCGCTGAATTTCTGAAATATGTCCTCATTGTCGAACTTTGTCCTAGACAATTTGAAACTAGACTAATCAAGTAAATTCGTATTAATTGAGGTATTGCTGTACATGGATTCCGATTAACTTAAAATTATTATAAAAATATACTTTTTTCGTGTATTATTTAAAACAAATAAAAGATTAATATTTGTAGAAAAAAAAAATAAGAATTTGAATTGTGAATGTATTTTATTCTATAATTTTTAATACCTAATAAAAACTAGAAGACTGAAATGGTGATATCATAGATAATTGAAATATTGTCGAGGAACCTGGTTTTTTCCAAGTAAAGCAATTGCTGAAGCTTTATCGTGTAAGGATTGGAATGATCAAAGTATGAATATCGCCTAATTAAAGTAAGTCAAGCAGGAGTGAAGGTTAAATCATGATCCAAATAGTGATGAGCAGGCGGATGAGTTGAACGCTTTAATGTTAATAAAAGTACTTGTATATTATGAGATATTGCATATGGAAAATCATGTAAAAAAAAACGAATATATCGTTGGCTATGATTTGCTAAATTATAGCAATCGTCGGTGACATAACAAACGGCGGCGTTTCTCCGTTGGCGGTAATAAAACTGCCAGAGGCGGTGGTGTATTGGGATGCCATTAGACCTTCCGCCTGTTCGGTAACTTTGGACAGGTAACAGCAACCTGCAGTGACCTGGCTAAAAGAATAGGGGTGGATGGATGGATGGATGAAGAATAGAAAGAGAAAGAAAGTAGAAGGGGTCGCGCGATAGCATGCAACACGTTCCGGATTTTATGCGCACCCCCGTCCTTAAAACAAATATGATCTTTTTTTTTTCTGGTGTGTTTCCTCGTGTCCTCTATTATGTTCGAGGGGAATTTTTTGCAGGTAGCGAGAGGAGAGTAGCCGACCGGACCGGATCAGATCGGACCGGACCAGGCAGGACTGGGTCCGTCCGACACACACAGAAATCCCCCGATCGGAACGTGTAAAAAGCGAGCGTCCGACGCAAATACATTTCGAACACGTACTCGAATAAAACGATGGATTATCCTAGGACAACCAAGATGCACACTGCGCAAATATATCTGCCGTTTGTGGGACACGTTTCGAGAGGATAATTAGCACCAGGATCGGGTCCCGAAATACGTTCCCACCGGTATTCCATAATACGTGTTTCGGGATTACCACTGTGCCAAACAATGTATTAAATACAGTATATAATGAATGCGGCGAAAGGCAAACACCCTCAACCCCTCGGCTTCGGCGGACCTGGTGGCAGCGGATCGTGGGATGATTGCTTGCTTACTTGCCTGCATCGCCTCTCGATGATTCGCCCATTACCGCTGCTTCACCTTAGCCCAGCAAATCATGTCATGCAATCGTCATATGTTTCTATTTATACGACCTGTTATAAAAATATCATCGCAATTAGCTGCGACCAATGTAATCGCCTCTAATTGATTAACGACCGTTTTTCCTTGCCGTTTCATCAATTCTCTCTTTCTATCTCCCATTATATTTTATTTCCCTCATTTTTTTCGGAACGGAAAAATAGGTTAGATATTAGGTGGGCATCGGGTGTGACGACGGACATGGGTTTCGAACTCCACCTGTAACCTCGTAACGTTCGCAACTTTTCTCCCCTCGTTTCCTAAACCGCCCTCGCGTTCGTTTCCCATTTATAAACAACGGAGAAACGGCCTTTGTTTATGGCACCGAAACGCGAATTGCAACCGCACAGAACCTTTACCCATTGTTCCCAATACAGCCGTAACGTGCGATAAATTGAAAAAATATATATATATATAATACATAGTTACTTTTCTACAAACACATCATACTTCTTTTTTTTTTCATATAAATATATAGATATAATTGTTGTTTATGTATTTACGTGTTCATTGGATAATCAAAAATAATTACGCAATTAATTCGGCTTTAATTAAAACTAGTTTTCTGTAATTATATTTTTCTCTCTACGACCTAGAGGAAAGCGATTGGAAAAAAAAGCTGCCGCATTTTTTTTTACATTTCCATTTCTAATAATTACATCCCACTAGAAGTGCATGTTTTTTGTTCGGAAATGTTTATTAGAAACTTGCAGTATTTCAAATAAAAATTCTATAATTTATCATTATGTATTTTTGATATAAATACATTTTGATGAATTTTATTTATTTAAACATATTTTTGGACACAATCTGTTCCCAAGGACTATATAATTGAATTCACTTACATTTCTATTTTTTTTTTCTCATAAAATTGAAACTAATTTTCCGAATTTTTGACAATTTCCAATAGTGGACAAAAATCAAAAGTAAATTTCATAAATAGTAAATTTGTAGGAAAAAAGTTTTACAGGAATAAATTCCTTTGAATTTTTTAATAATTATATAATTAAAATAAATTTGACAGTTGTTAAATGTAAAAAAAAATAATAAGAAATTGTAAAAAAAAAAAAATTAATATCAATTATAGTAATCAAGTTGTGTTGTGTATGTATAATCGAAATAACTCTTAAATCACGCATTTATTTATTTTTTTTTCATTTAAAATTTTCAACTTTAATTAAAACTTTATTATAATATTAATCATATTATAAATTGAAAATTTATATTGATTATCAATAGAAAATGTTTATGTGAAAACGCAAGTAGTTTCGTTTAATCTACGATTATTTGATTAAAATTTTCCGTGGAAAAATAATAGGAAAAACTTGATTGCGTCGTTATTAAAACTATAAGGCCATAAAAATTTGCCGCGAATCAATGATCAATTAAATTACAGAACAGCGGAGAGAGAAAAAAAAATTAAGTGCTTACAATGTTCGTGATAATATGGCAACTGCACAGTTCGTTTATTTTAACTTTATTTACTTGTTTCACGCGATGCAGATGATCCAACGAATTCATATAAAAACTTCAAGAAATTCAATTGCGTTTTCGATGAAATATTTAAAAAACAATATGTTCTAATTAACAATACGTAAATTTTAATTGAACCTAGTAGAAAAATTAATAAAACTATATAAAATACGAATATTTAAGAAAATTAACAAAAAAACTATATCACATAATTTGTAACAATTAATATAGTTACAATAAATATATTAATATGTTTACAAAAAAAAATATTTATCCTGTTCAGATTTGTTTCACTGAATTGAATGTTTTCTTTAAGATTAGATAAAATCGACATAGTCCTATATCTAAATTAAGTTTTATTTGTTTTTTAAACCCAAATATTATATGCAATGCATATGCGATAAAATTCAGATCCATTAAATTTGTATCTAAATAAAAATCCAAGTTATGTACCATAACATATATTATACAATTACTTTTATAAATTTTCAGTTTTTTTGACAAAAAACATTTTTATTTTATTAATTAATTTAATTACTATTTCACAGCCTGTTCATTTAATTTTTAATTCCTCCTTTTTTCTTGTCCTTTTCATTTATGTACTATAATTCCAGCAAATTCCATTGCAAGTTTAATATTTTTATTCATATACGTTTTGATTCATTTTTGCTAAAATTAAATTTAGCGTTTCCAAATGAAAGAGGTCAAAGTTACCATTAAAAATCTCGTTATAAACTTTATTTTTTTAAATGTCCAATTAGCATTTATTTGCTGACATTTCTATCAACAAAATCGATAATCTTTACATTATTTTTATAATTAAATATTTTACTGAAATCCAATTAAATTAAATATGAAAAATATTTTTTAAGTGAAATAAAAAGAAATCTTTTGAAAAGATTTTTTTTCTAAATTTTGTAACTGTAACTCAATTTGGAACAATAATATAATTTATTGCAACAATTACATAATTAAATAAGAACTTTCGTAAAATTTGTCTTTTCGATTTCTAAAAATTTAGTAAACATATATTTTGTAAATCTATTAATTTGAGACAAATTGAAGATTTTATTATTATTTTAATAATTTATTAATTTTTTTAATTCAAGTGAATCGAGTGAATATTTCATATTAGTAAACAAATTCAAAAAATACATGAAGATAATAATTGTGATATGTAAATATTTAGAATAAAATAATTTTCATGATGTTTGATTTAAAAAATATATTTTTGTTTGCTCTATAATAAATGGTATTTTCGTTCCAAGGAAATGAAGGAAACATGTATTTTGTTGTATTTATTTTTGTTTTGTTTCAAATAAAAAAAAATCATGTCCCGGCACATTCGTCGCGCATTTGTTTGGCCGGTCAGTGCGATCGATCGACACTTTGCATCGGAGTCTAGGATAATCCTAGATTACGTTAATCCCGGATTAACCGGCATATAAATGGAATAGATCGGATTTTATGCTGGCGCCCCGCGCTTTCGCGCGCAGGCTTTGAAAACATAAAAGTTGCAATTCCCAGGTTTTACTTCAGCGTTTGTTTTTTTCGTTTGTTTTGTAGCGTGTGTATGTGTACGTTCGTAGCTTTTAGTTTTGTGAAATAAATAAATTTCGAAATGATCATTAAAGGTGAGAGAGAAAAAGTTGGAATTGTATTTACACTGGTTGCATGTGTCGATAAATGAAATTAATTGTCGGAACAAGGCAAGGTTAAAGGTTGGAGGTGAGAGGGTATGCATGTAAGATTTGGGGATGATTGTTGGATTTTACCTGAGTGGCGAGCTCCATGGGGGCGGTCTTGGAATTGGCAGCAACCCAGGCTTCCGCGAAGGTCTCCATGGCACTTTGAAAGTCCATCGTCATAAATGTAGCGATAGTTGAAAGGGTGTAACAAAAAAGAAAGAAAGTCGCGAAGAGATGGTGACCCGGAGGGGTGAAAAACTAAGTGGACATTGTTTTACGGTAGGTGCGAATTTTGGATAGAAAGCGCCGACAGCGTGGCTGGTAGTTTTGGACGCCGTGCGCCACAGGTTCGTCCGCTTTTGGCAAACGCGCGTTCACGACTGACGACGCAACGGGCGGCTGTCGGCGCCGACACGGACCGACCGCTCGAAAAGGGGAACCCCCGACCCTTGGCGCGCCACCCCTAAGGCCTGCGCCCCACGTCAGCCACGCAAACAAGACGCACTTACCCCGCGATATCAAGAAGAAAAACAATACAAAACTATACATAGTTTTTACTTAGTCCACTTCTGAACTATCCACCGACAGAGTACCGACAAATCCCAACAACAATCTACCAACAAATACGAACCGCCCGCAGGTCAGTTAAATCCGCATCGCTAAACCCTAATCCCACCTAATCCAACTAAATCCTCACACAATAACATCAACAACAGAAACAAACAAAAATACAAAAAAATTGCGCAAAAATGAAATGCAACGTAACAACAAACATTCCCCCCCTCTATACCTAACTGTCCGATCCCCTCCATTGCGTCCAAGGGTTTTTGTTTCCTTCGACGTCGGCATCGGTGGAGGCGGCGCGCGTGCAACCGCCGGCGTCGCGGCGCTCAAATGAATTCCGACGTAGGCGGAGCTATAGGCGGATCCGCGTTTGGGGATGTCCCACGTATCGCGACAGAAGCCCCGCCGAGTTATTCATCCCCGCGGATTTCCGCGCGCGATCAAGCCCCATCGCATATGCGTCGCGACGCTCTTTAGAGTTGACAAAAACGCAGCTGCGTCCCAAATACTTACAGATGGTGCATTGCTGACGATGCGTCTATAAATTCGAAGAAATTCAACAATAACCAGATCTTGATTTGATTCTTCGTAATCAAAACCTCAAGAAACGTTTAAATAAACAAATTATTTCAATATCAATAATAATAAGAAAAATAAATATTGACATACCGAAATAGTTTATATTATAATCAAGAATGACTAAATTATTATTTGTAATAAAAACAATTGTAGTCATACAATTAAGATTTTCGAGGCCTTAGTTAATAAGATTACGATGGAGAAAAGACAAGTTATATGTAATTATCAATTCTAATTCAATTATTTTTCATAGAAAAGAAAACATGATTCTAATACAACTTTCGTGTACCACTAGAAACCTAGACACTATCTCTAATGGATAAGACGGATAGTCAAAGTGTTAATACTCATATACTTATAATCTGTTATTTGTGTTTAAAAAAAACATTATTAACATTTCTTGAAAAAACATTTCAATAAGTTTACTTCTAAATTTACAGTGGATCTCAATGTACTTTGGATTAAGAACTTGGTAAATCTCATTTTTATTTTTCCAAAACATTTGTTTAATGATGAGTAAATTTAATTTTACATTACATGGACATTTCTTTCCTCTTTACCATTTAATTAATACTTTATCCATTTTTATAATAACTATATATAAACATATATTTGTTTATATTATCTGCACGTTTTTAGAAGAACACACACGCTACTTATTTATTTGGGGACTTAGGGAGCATGGGAAAAGAAGGCAGAAAGATAAAGAAACGCTGAGACAGTCGAAATTTGTGTGTATCAGGTGGATTACAAGATTTTGATTTCTTATTTTTACATGTGCTATATAATATAATCAATTGTTAACTAAAGATAACTATAATTTTTGGATATTATAGAGAAGTACAATATTGTATATAGGGAAGTTGTGTCATTTTTTACTATGTCGAAAAATAACTGTTGTCACCTTGTCTCAAAGCAAGGAACTAGTGAAATACACTTAAAAAAAGGTTAAGAAACGTTGCTCTGACATATATATTGATGAAGTCCAAAGTATTATAAAATAAACTTATTTGTTTTCCTTGTTTTTATTTAATTTTTAACAACATTTATCATTTTGCCACAAATTTTGTGGACAAATTTGTCAACTATATAAAAAAAATCAAAATAAATAAAAATTATATTAATTTTAAGTATATTTCCCTTTTTAAAGTTCTCATTATGTCACAGATGATTATTATTTTTAATTTTGTTTGGATGTATCATTGTTGAGTCATTCCATATTATGTGGGGTTGCATTGTGTATTTCGTTTTGTTCTATTGTTGGCAAGATAGTAAGTTTGTAGCAGTCGGTGAGCCTCACCTACACTTCATTGATCTTTGTCTAATTGCATTTGGTTCAGTCCGCTGTACCCTACATACTCCAGATATGTAGTTTCAGTATGTGCATGTATCTCAATGTATTGTTTACAATAGCTTATGTACAAAATATCAGAAGTTTAGTTATACTTTTTGGAAGTTTACTTTACAAATGTTCATTGCTTTATTTTTCATCCAATTTTATAAATATTTTATCATTCAAATTTTGTCTATTAAGGTGAGTACACACTGCGTTAACATGTAACATTGCGTGTACTAATCTTCATATATTTTTTGGGATAATCTCTCAATTTTATTAGGTGTAAGCAGCATAGTGAAACTAAGATTTAAATTGACAGATTACGAATGATTTAAAAAAAAATTTAATCTATTATTTAACCTAAAATCAATATAGATTTGTTAATTCATCAATAAGAATAATACGGCTGCGCAATAAATAAATCCACTTCCGATACATTGCATTTTGATATATCCTCATAATCCGCATCAATGGTGAACGGGTTTTTAATCCACATTTTACTGCCGGAAAATATCGCCGTTGTTAATCCCAACAGATGTTCTTTAATTGCTACAGAATTTGCACCTGAAATATTACATTCAGGATATATAACATCCTTGTTTTGTTGCACCAATTTAAAAGTTTTTATTGCCAACGTTAAGTTTGTATTTCGACAAAAAAAAAGAAGGTCTTATTTGTTTGCCGGTCGAATCCCAATAAAACTTCGGCTCACACCAAAAGGTTTCTTCACCAAAGAATATCATAGTGATACTATCTACTATCTAATTCCTCGAACAATGCAACGAACCTTGTTAATCCCATAATCCGAAAATAAGCCAACTTAACTTCAGCGTTTTATATATAAATAAATAAATAAATGATGCGACGTTTTATACTTAAGTTATATAAAGAAAAAATTTAACAATGAAATTATATAATAATAGCATGTGCATTTAACATTAAATATTTGCTCATTGCTACTGTTCATGTACATTTTTAGAATATTTATGCAATTGTCTAATTTTTGATGACAAATAAAATATGCATAAACACATTTGTTTTTTTTTATACAAAAATTAATCAATTAATAAAAAAAAACTTTTATTTTAACAAAAAGTAAAAAGTCCAGATTTCAAATATTTTTATATATGGTTGAAATAATGAATTTTGATTATATGTACTTTATCCTAACTTCCGTATTTTGAATATATATATTTTAAGTATAAGACGCTTCTATCTATAAGACGCATTTGGGTAATCCCAAATCATGATAAAAGTAAGAATTGATTTTAATTAATTTAATCCAATTCGCCACAAACATTGGATTATCGTATAAAAAATTGAACTTTAGAAACATGTGACCTAATTGTATTATTCTTGCAGCGCACATTTACAAAGGAATTCTAGTTTCATTGTAGATTTTAATGTTTTCTCATTTCTTGCATTTGTTTCCACGTAACATTTCCTTCATACAAAAAGAGAATCAGGAAAATTGCGAATCTTTTCATATACTAATTTATTGTTTGTGCAATTCTGTAAGAGAAACAAATTATAATTACATACAAAAATAAGCTAAAACTGTTAATCCAATTAGTGCAGATTTACTATAGAATCCGTACTAATCGAAGACCACAATATTTGCAGTTTTAGTAAGCTTTTATAAAATAATAAAAATGTGGAAGTTTAAGAATCTTAGGGTTAAAACCACTTCAACTCAATGTAAAAATAGTAAGTGGTATAATATAAACTATACAAAAGTACTTGTTTAACAATGAGTAGACAACTAAGTACATAATGATGCGGTTTTTCTGTTGCATGGGACAACATTGGATTAGTGTTCGTAATCCGAAAGTGTAAAACGCCATAAATTTTGGCAGATTATCGGTGCGCAATAAAACATCTCGAGATTAAAAACGCAAATCCCGAAAAAGTACAATTCTTAAACGACGATAACACTGTTGTTATCTCTAATCCGTTCTTTTGCGAATCGTAAAAAAAATGACGATCAGACGAAATACTCGATAATCCAGGTAAATAAAACGAACGTCACCTGTTAGGAATCCGCGCAGAGTTACGTTACGCATCCGGATCTGGATTAACGAAAAAAGGGAGCAAAAATAAAGGTTTGGATATAATATTTGTAGCCGATTCCGGTGAGGAGAGGTAAAAACTTTAGGTTTTTTTTGATATATATATACGTGCACGCATGACCATATTGGGAAAGAGATGGAAAAGGTGTGTTTAGGTAAGAAATCCAAGTGAAAGAATGTTCAGGTTTTACGACGACAGCAAATAATAGTAAGCGGATTATCCCGCTTTTACCTGAGTTTAGACCGAAGTTAGGGTATCCATCAAATATAAATGGCCCTACGAGAAATATCTCGCTTGCCAGATTTAGAAAAGATTAGCGACGATAGGCAATAAATTCGAAATGGAAACGGCCGAACACTGGGATAGGTCAACAAGAACAACTACAAACAACGTGAAATTAGATGCCGCCCATTTCCTTTCTTCTTCCAGACCTAATAGTGAGGAGCTGGCGGATGTTCGGCTCGTCATGATTTACGAATTTTCGTAAATTATAGATGCATTCCAACGAAAGCTTACGAAATGCATTTACTGCCGATTATGTCTACAACATGCGCAATTACGTAACTACAGTAATACCGGCACGCAGTACGTTTTTAATTAAATAAATTTATACACAGTGGACACAAGACAGCAATACCTTATATAGTGCGGGTAATAATTATTCCGCACTGTTTGAAACCGGATTCTTCGAGGACTTTATAACAGCATAAAAATAAATTGCGCAAAGTTTTATAAAAGTGGTAGAAAGATTCATGGACTATGATGGGACAGGGGCAGTATTTTCTCTACTCACGTTAGTTAAGTTTTGTAAACTATCATACATTGATGGAGGTTCCGAATTTATATTTCTGTTTTTTTTTTGCGAGATATTTGGGTCGTGAATATCTCTCGGTCGCATTGATTTAAGATATCGTTAATCGATGCGATACTTGAAAATCTCGCGTTTCATCTCTAGCCGCGATTATTCACCAGATCACTCACATACTAATCTCGCTAATTACACGATAACACCTATGGCACGCAGCGAAGAGGTGCCTTAATCCGTGGACTACGTAACCGTTGTTTGCAAACGCGCAGAGCCGTCTCCTAGGATCTCACAGGTTAACCGATTCCTGAGCGGCTCATTATGCAAGATTAACGCAAATGTGCTAACCCCTCGGTACTCCTACGCCTACACATATCCCTACATTTCCAAAGTAATTGGAGAGCTTATATGCACATAATGAACCGTTTAACTAAATTCCGATGTAGCAGTGAATTATCATTTATTTCCTATCAAGTAAAACCATATATTTTTTTGTATTGCCAACTTCGAATCAAGTGATTATTGATACTTTGGGCCGTCTTATCCATTAGACACATTTCTTAGGGCCTACGAGGATATTTATTTTATCCATAAAAAAATTGAAATCAGAATTCATGAATACCTAACTAGTTGTTAAATAATTAATTCTTGTTTATTTTCTCAGATTCTTCAAAAGGTTATCACCAGAAGAATAAACAGTTTTTAAAAATGCCAATATTGGGTAATAACTTAATCATATTTACTTCATCTCAATTTCTATTTACTTTGAACTACTCGCATCTACACCATTGTTTACAAAATATAAGATACGTCTAGATGAAATAATTTTATATGTGTATTTAGGTTAAAAAATCGTCTCAAGGTCACGTTACCATAAGTCGTTGCATTAGACTGAAAACCAATTGCGAAGTCCTGTTACTTCCAATTAAGTAACCAACGATGACCTTGAAATCTTAATAACTATGACCTGTGATCTTTAAAAACAACCAAATTTTTTGCAAAACGCATACATTTGAGAGTTGTGAGTTAAATACTACTTTGTATGTAAAAATTCATATTTTTTTGATCCGCAATTAATGGGAGTATTAGCGCAACATGCAAATTCGGTCCATGAGATTGAGTCACCCGTCCTAATCCCGATTAGAAACGATTCCGTGTTATCATCGAGATGGCTGCCAGATTAAGCAGCAATATCCATTAGCGGAATGGTGATTGGGATCAAAAGAGACGAAACGGCGGCGATAATCAAAAGAAAATCGAAAATCTCGCTGATTGAGATTAGTGAGTGAGTTGTTGAAGGAATCAAAGCTTCGTGATGATCACTGCGATGGGGAATGGATTCAATGGATACACGTATTCCATGTTACATTATCGAAAAATATATATATATCTATGTGAAATTATGTGGTTATGAGGTGATTAGTTAAGTAATTACCGAAAACTTGTAGATATTATCCGCTCTAATTGCAATTAAACGTTACTTATCGCGTGGTTTAATTGTTTGATAATCGTATCTCTATTAAACTCAATAAATCAACTGATTGCGCAACAGCGTCGTTATAACGCGTACGCGTGCGTAGGCAACTTGAATTGCTGCAATATGTGTCCACGCTTGTCACAACCTACTTCAGATCCAATTCACCTCTTCTAGGTTGTCAAATTAATGGACCTACTAATTACATACACACAAGCTCATTTGATTCACTTTTTTTTTGTATATTAGTATTTTCTAAATAGTCAATTACTTGTATATTTACCGGACTAAACGAGGACTTTACAACCGCACAATAACAGACATCACTTAATCTCGCATCAGTTCAGATTCAAACTTCTAGTACGAATTGAAAATTTCAGCACAAACTAAATTTTTATTACGCAAAATAAATTCCAAAAAAAAAATTTTTTGTCTTTCCTACATATATGAACAATGAATTAAAAAATGTATGGAACAAAATACGTGGAACAAAAATATATTCATTCATAAATATTGTGCACCTTCTTTTTGAAACGAAAGCATACAACAATGTACATGTGTGCAGAATTAATTACAAAATAATAATAAATCCATAACAAAGCATATTCGTTGTTTTGAATTTCGTGCTTTATCATTTGTTGTCAGCGTAATAATTTTATGTAACTGAAATCTCGTAAATAGAGCTCGAAAATGTATGAATACGGCTTTTATTTTGAACATGTATGATTGTTTTTTTTTTCAATTGTTTTGCAATCAAAAAGAGTGATTTTATTGAATTCAACAACTCAGTTGTGGTTTTAATAATATACACCTCGGGTTCGATCAGTCCGGATTTACTGATTGAAATTTTTTAAAACGACATTAAATTCAAAATTGACATTTCTATCTTTGAGGATTATTTTTGCATGTATTTAGTTCCTCGATTTGGTTTAAAAATTTCAAAACAAACTAAATATTACTTCAGCAAAATTTACTATACAAAAGTGTCAATTTTGAAGGAATTACTCAGGAATTGAATCCGGATTCAAATAGTACGGTGAAACTGATTTTTGTAGAATATAAAAAGCGCGCGTTTTTTAAATGAATATTAGTTATTAACAATTATAATACTACGATTCTAGACCGATTTTTATAAATACATAACAGTTATTAAAGTTATATAAATTCTTATTTATTATGCATTGATAAAACGTGTTTCTTTTTTGGTTAAACTATCTAACACAATATAATAAAGGTAATAATAACATTTGGTTACTCACCCGCATTGTTATTTAACAGATACACAACATATTTTGTTATGATTTTATTTTTTTTAAATTTATAACTTGCAGATGACAGCTCTCAAACATACATGTATAATGTTTGTAAATCTGATTAAAAACTAGATGCAATAATAAATCTTATCTGGGATGATAGATTAAATCGAATTATAAATGGAATGAGTAATTTCGGAATTATCCAATCATTGAAGGAACGAACATAAAATTTAAAAAAAAAACGATTTTTTTAAACTACAGCGCTAAAGTTTACATAACTTTTAGCAAATTTTTACAAACTATATTTACAATATTAATTAGAATATTGAATATGAAAATAAATTATTTTATATTAAAAAAAAGTTTAGAAATTGCTTTATTTGTTCTAACGGAAGTATGTTTAGATTAAAACCTATGTCGGCATTTAAGTAATTTTTAATTGCACGTAATCTGATTGGAGTTATGAGATTAACGTGTGATTATTTTAATTAAAGTATAATCTCAATTACAAATATGAAAATAAATAAATGAACGAATAAACCTGTGCATGTGGGTATTTAAAAATCTTGGAATAAAAATTAAATCGGTATCAGGATTTATCATTATTTACAAATGTGAAAAATGTCGTCCCATTCTTAAACTGAGATTAGTATTTAAGTTCAAAACAAAAACAATAAATTTATAAATCGCCAGACGGGAAAGATTATAATATTTTTTATGATATAATTACCAAACACCTAGTGAATCCGGACTGATCGAAGCTAAACTATGCGAAGTATTAATGATATTTTTTTTCACATTTAAATTACAAATTAATGTGGGATAGAAGATTAGCTATAAATCAGTGATTCTCAAACTTTTTTGTCCGCGACAATCTTTTGTACATACAAAAGTTTTTCTGATCCCCTTTTGGACATACAAAGTTTTTGCGAATGAGTATAGTAGAAAAACAACTAGGATTGATCTGTCATTATTTTTTTGCGACCCCTTGAGGATCTCTTTAAGTAAGAAGTAGACTACGAAAGTCTTTAAAATCTACAAAGAAAACGGCGTTTTCTGAATATATAATTATGTAGGAAAGTAAAAGTATTAGAATATGATGTAAAAATCTTTGACCAAATCACCTGTGTGAGATTACACTAGATTGGAAACGCCTTGACGCACTTCGAGCTAGGAAAAGGAAGTAATGCGCGAGTGCATCCATAATACTTTGCAAATGGGACGGAAAGTAGATGGGTTTTGGATGTTTTGAAGTTTCCTGAAAGGTATTTTAAAAAGTTGCGCCGCAGCAGCAGCTCTGCTATATTCCACCATATTAAGTGTTTTTGTCCTTCCTCGCCTTTTTCTCTTTGTCTTTCATTATTATAATATTTTATTTTTGATTTTCTTTTGTTTCTTCTTTATTCTTCCAGCCGAAAGTTGCTAAGTAAAATGGGCTTTCCGACAGATCTTGCGATCGACCCTACCTCCCCACGAGCGACTAACAAATTGAGTTCCATCTCTTAATGCCGAGGCCCGTATGTAAGTACCGAGTAATATACTTAGCCTTACTAATTGTTGCATAGCGTATAGCGATAATAAGTCCCGCTCCGGCTCTTAGACAGACTCAATCGCTCTGCCTTTGTGATACACTTCGGACATTATTATTGAAGGCTAATGGATTTTAAGAAGGGTTGACACTGTCTTCCCGGCTCGACTTCAATGGGGGTGGCCAGAGACAAGTAATAAGCCGTCCCCGACTCCCCAAACCTTCGCAACCCTCGACCCAACCACCCCCCGAACATCTATATCTCCGTACAATACATTCTTTATGTACGTAATAAGCCAATCTTAATTGGAAAGGGTTTTTGTGTTTTTCTCTAAATGTAAATTTAAATGAAAGAATTAAGGAAAACGCGGAGGAGACTTGATTGTGTTCGTTTTCATCTTATATTTTTTTTTTCACTGGGGAAAGGATATATAGGTATGTATATATATATATATTAAGTTGGAATGGGGAGAGAAAGGGCGGGCAACCCCTTTTCTGCCGCCGCCGAGATATTAAATAAGGCACAACTCAATTACGGCAAATTGATATTGACCATATATCCAGCAGGTGCCTGCCGAAAAGCTTTCAACCGGGAGGACTAATTAAACCGTGTGCCGTGTCTTCGATGATCACATTTTCCCGAAACTCGCTTATTCGTACAGCATACTTCCGCCCTAGCGTCCACATTCCCATTGTACTCGTTAGAAAAAAAAAATGTCACTAGCCGCTGCCCTTTGCTTTTGTTTAACTTTTGCTCATTTTTCTTTCGCCGCTGAAAAAGTCTGTATTATTTAGCAAATTGAGCGATTACTATTCTTTTGATGTTAAAGCCATTAAATTTCGCAACGTAATTGAATGCAAGCAGGATAAAGGAGGGTGGTTCTATGTACAGACGTACCCGGGGCTTGAATGACGGTCGGTATTGGAGTGTCTGGATGGTTCGATTCGCGTAAATATACGATATTGGTGGTAATACAAGTGTTCTCTGGGGGCGCTCTCTTATGGTTTGAGCGCCTTAAAGGAGTCGCATTCAGGCAATAACATTTGAAAACTACAAATCACAACCGATCCTTGAAAATCTACCCCCGGCGCGCGGCCGCGCTAAATATATGAAATATTGTTATGGCTTGTACTTCAGTACGCGGCGCTGCGGAATTCGGGCGAACTTTATTATCCTGGAATTCAATGTATTTATGTCTGCGCTGTAGAAAATTCCCTTTTTCAAGACACATCAAATGAGCTACAGGGGACGATTATTTATTATTATTAAAATGTATTGAGGGATTAGTCTTTTCTGTGTACGCGGGGGTGGGTGTGAGAGGTGCTGTGCTGTGTCCTCTCTTTAAGGTCGCGTCGCGTCGTTTCTTTCCATCTCTCCTTTCTCTTGGGCAACCAAAGCGGATTCGCGACTATACGCGGTATACGAATTAAATCGAGAGCGTGCAAAAAGGACGAAGAAGGAAGAGGACGAGAGAAGAAAAAAATATGAGAGCGACGAGGAGGATGAGGAAAAAAGCTGGAGCGAATAAAGAAAGAAGCAAAGCAGAAGGAGATGCAAGAAAACGTGTATGGGCAAATGACTGGGGTGTACTGAACTGAAATCTTAGCAATTAGTTCCATCAAAGATGCTTTTTGCCGTTGCGCGCGAGACGAAGATTTTTCCGATTCAGAGGCAAATCATTAGTAAAGTTTATCAGTGATTATTTAGGATGCTTTGAAGTTTCGCATTATGTTCTTCCATCGCGACGATCAATCGAGACAGAGCAGAAAACTCGGAAAAGGCCTTCCTTTTTAAATGCCTTTTTTTATATTTCTTTTATTTATTTTTACCCTGAAAACCCCGGGACCGCAGCCACGGCGACAGCTACAACCGCCAACCCAGTTCGCGCGGTGCCGCCACCGCCCCCGCCACCCAATATTTTATATATTTATTTTGATTATTTTCTCATTTTTTTTTCTTCTTCTCTCTCTCTCCATTCGTATGCCTTCGCTGTGTGTATCTTATCGTTTGTGATAATGGTATGCATCGATTGCGATCGCCTAATGCGCCGCTCCCCGGGAAATATTTGATGCTAATGGTTGCAAAGTAAGGGTAAGAGAGTTTCCTTTATACTCCCACGTCTAACTATCGTATTAAGGAAATTCACGTGGTAGCAATTAAATAATCCCTTCAAAGCAAGAGCCGAATAAATACCTTGGGGAATATCTCGGGAGCTACTAGCTCGGTCTGCTCTATACTGATGCTGCTGATGTCTAGAGAGACAGAGAGATATTATAATGTGGTTCCCAGGAATATTACATTCAGCGACATCGCCCACTCGCCTTTTCCTCTACCTCTTCCTCTACCAAACATCCGACAAAGAGCTACCAAAGTTTTAGTTTTTTTTTTACTACCGAAAATCAGTAAACTTTCAACGATATCCAAAGAGAAGCAAATGCATATCAAAATCACTAAAGCTAAAACAACATTCACAACATTTCTAAACCATTATTATTATATTTTCTACCATTATTTACAAAAATGCACAAAAAGATTTCCCAATATACAAAAAATATTCTTTTTCGTAATATTTGAAAATTACAAAAGTGACAAAAATATTGCACATATATCTTCATTATTTTAGTCTGTTTGAAAATATTAATACAAAATTAATTGTATTGTTGTAATAAATATTATTATTAATAAAAAAAAATAATTAAATTAAAAAAATCAGTAAACTAATAATAAATGTAAAGTATAAATATATAAAAGTTGTTATAAAATTGAATAAAAGGTATTGAATACGTTTAAACGCTTAAATTTAAGTAGATTATAACATTCATCATTATTATGGGTGCATTATATTCGCATTTATTCCGATATCTGTTCCGATAATGAGATGCTCAGACTCTCATTTAATACAGCTAAAGAAATAAAAAAAAAACACACTAAGAATTAATTTGATTTAAGATTCATTAAAAATACATTAAAATCGTTTACAAGATATAAGTTTTTATGTGCATTGAAACACAAAATTTAACTACTAATTAGTATATATGTAACGTTTGTATATATACAAAATTTTAAATACAATAGGTTTTTATATAGTTATAGGGATAATAGGTTAAACAAGGTCGGTTTAAATCTCTTGGGTATTTCCTTTGTAACCGTGGAGACTGAGAATGAAGCCAAATGCATCATCGATACGTTTCATCCAAGATCAATATGTAATATGTTAAGAGTACTTATGGAAATACCTATTATATACTTAAAAAAATGCAATGTAAAATAATAACATAAATAATGAATGGAAATAGCAATTGCTATTTTCACTATTTACTTCTCCTTATTTACCGAGACAGATCAGTTTTATTTATTGGAAACTTGTCGATATTTATTCTTTTTAAAATTAAACATATAATACAAAATAATTCAGTATGTTTAAATGTAATTAATTTTGTTTTAAAAATATGTATAAAAATGTGTTGATGATCGGATAGTACTCAAAAACTGTATGCACTTACTAAACACTAGAATCGTGTTCGCTTTAAACAAGCGTATGTTCTATGTGGAAATATGTATTACACTTGAAACAAAAAAATATGGTAGTATTATTTTTTTTTTAGAAATTTGCTAAATTAATCCATTTATTTAGTTTCACATAAAATGAAACCTAATATTAATATAATTTAATAAAAATTATTAGTTTATAGTGAATTTAAATTATAATGTAATTACGATATCTAGATTTAGTTGTTTTTGATATGTTTATCTCAAGTAAAATTATTATGTTTCTTGTTGTAATGGAGGGAATAAAGAATGAGGGAAACTTTTTCGTTTGCATAGCGAAGTGATCGTCCGAGAATCGCATTGCGATCGACCTTATGACCCTGTACGTCTTCTGGTATCTTGTAGAAAGATACGAGAGACGACAACAGCGAATTGATTTATCTGGATCGCCCGGCGCATCCGCCATAAATCTCTTCTCCCGAAACTTTCCCGTTCCATCTATCTCGGATGCAAATGAGATAATCTGTATAAACAAGTATTGCTCTCTGCCGCTGTGTGTTTTCGATACATCCCGAATTCGTTTTGATTTAGTGTCTGTCCACAGTCGAGCCAAGCGATTTTTGCTGGCAAACTGTGTGCGATTCCACGACTCGACTCGAGTCGACTTCGTTCATTAAGCCCGGTGGATTTGGGTCCGTTTCGGAACGGAACATTGGTTTCTGGTGCAAGAAGAGGGAAGATCCTTAGCGTCAGCGATTTATGGCATTTGCCATTCGACTCGGGGAAGCTCTCTTATTCCGACTTCATTCTAAGCCATTCGGGGGCTTAAAAGTTAATGTATACGAAAAATAACCCCGAGATACAAGAAGAATGAGAACGGAATTTTCTTTAAATTCATTAATTTCGCGGTGGCGGCGGCTTCTACTGCGGCGGCGGCGGCAGCGGCGATTGCGGTGCTGAGATTCCACGCGACGGGTCGAGGGGTGGCGGCCGCTACCGCTACCGCCGCCGGCTCAGGAGATTAAAATGTCGTTTTCGTTGCGACAGCTTTAGTGCTTTCTAATATTCCGCCCGTAAATAACCTAAAAAGAAAACGCGATGATAGAGTCTACTTAAGCGGCGATTGTTATGCAAAACGGGCGCAGGGCCCAAATCACCACCTGTTCATCGTTCATCCTCATCAAGGGACTTCTTTGCGAACGCGAACCCAATCTTTTGTTATTTTCTCCTATTTTCAGGCATTACCGGGGGTTCTCTGGCCTGGAAAGAATAGCCATCTAAAGGGTTTTAATGCCGTATTTAGAATAATTGCTGCCATATTTAAGCCTCTCGGAATAAAGACTTTGGCGCCTCCCACCGAGTGCGCCATCCGCAGACCCCCGTGCCCTATCTCTTCCTCCTTCGGAGCATTACGCGCCCGCACCGCCCCACTTCGTACCCCGCGCTATCCAGTAAACAGTACAGCAGCTCCCGTTGTCCGCTTCATATGCGCCTCTTAATTTA